TGAGATTTAAAGACGACCGTTGGACTAGAGCTGTTACTGATTGGATTCCACGGAATGTCAAGAGACCGCGTGGCCGCCCACCTACCAGATGGTCAGACTTCTTTGTCAAGATCATGAACGATCGGTTTGAGGCCCTCCATGTTCCCGGAGCGAAGAGATGCCATTGGGCTACACTAGCACGCGACAGGGACAAATGGAGACGTTACTGGCGCCCGCTCGAGCAAATCGACGACTAACGGGAAGTTAAGTGATTAAGTGAAAAATTTATGAGTGAGCCATATATCCAAAACAGATTCAACAGAATGGAAAACATGAGATCTATGCAGCAACCACCAAAACTGTGATGTGTCTGTCAAGTTGACTGGGGATGGTGAAAGAGAATTAGGGAACACTAGGATGGAAGCTGACATTGGTGGAGTGAAATGGTGTTGAATAATTATATGCCTAAAGCTCAACTAAACTCATAATAAAAAAGTTTTTTAAAAAATAAAAATACTAAAAGTGGAGAAAATGGCTTTATGTACAGAAAAACCAAATATCAAAACAAAAAGATTTCTCATTGATAAGCCAGTAGGCAATGTGGCAACATGTTTAAAGTGTTCAGAACATTAAAAATCAGTGCATACAGATATATACAGATATTATAAACTCCAAAAGTATCTTTTAATAATTAAATCAAAATAAGAAAATTTCAAATGAAGAAAAAGCAAAGCAAATTCAATTCCACAGACCTGCACTATAAGAAATGTTAAACGTGGGGCTCATGCAATAGCACAGTGGGTAGGGCATTTGCCTTGCACGCAGCTGACCCGGGTTCGATTCCCAGCATCCCATATGATCTCCCAAGCACTTTCAGGAGTAATTCCTGAGTGCAGAGCCAGGAGTAATCCCTGAGCATCGGCTGGGTGTGACCCAAAAAGAAAAAAAAAGAAACATTAAAGGAATTTTTTTTTATCTTTGAGAACAAAATAAAAAGCATTTAAAGTGATAAAATGTAGGATATTGTTGGTTTGCCCTACCTCCCTGGCCTCTGGAAGTTTGTGTTTGTTGATTTCCCCCAACCTGGTTACCTGTAACAAATTATCTTTGTCTCCTGTCAGACTCTGACATTTGTAAATATTGTCTTTCTCTTCTCCTTAATGTCCTTTGCATGGTTAGCTATTTCAGTAAAGTAAAAGTAAAGGCCCTCCCGTTGATCGTCGATTTGCTCGAGCGGGCCCAGTAACGTCTCCATTGGAGACTTTGTTGTTACTGTGCCTGGCATATCGAATACTCTCGGTAGCTTGCCGGGCTCTCCGAGAGGGGCGGAGGAGTCGAACTCTGGTCGGCCATGTTGGCTGCGTACAAGGCAAACGCCCTACCCGCTGTGCTATCGCTCCAGCCTGGCTATTTCAGAGCAATTGCTTTTTGTATGGATGCAGGAAGACGGTTAAAAAAAAAAACAAGTCTGTGGCTTGGGAGTTTGATTGACTCCAGATAATATTACCTCCTGGACATCTGCACTCTGGACTTAAGCCTTAGTTGCCCTTACTTCCTAGATTCCCAAATACAGAGTCCTAATGAGGAACTGAACGAACCCAGGGCAAGTGGTGAGCTAGCTACCCTGGCATGGAAATGGGCCTGGCCAAAGTGCCATAAAGGTTAACTATAAGTTAAGAGCTTGGTCATGGACAAATTCTGTCATGATTCAAAAGTAATAACTAGATTTAGACCCTGCTGGGATTAGGAATGATTAATCTGGCCTGAGCACTGCAGTCTGAGTCTATAGTGAGATGTATCCAGGAGAGTTACCCTGCAAGTTTAAAAGTGTCTATTACTGTGTCCATACAGAATGGTTAAATATTAGGAAGGAGAATTAAAGAATTAATCAAGTTGCAGGTCTAAGGAGAGGAGAAACACACCTTAAGGGCTGTTTTGCTCTAGGGGGCTGCAGGTGGTGGGGAAGACTGAAAAAAAATACATTTTGATTGGTCTTTCCGTGGGGAGGCATGGTTGGGGAGCCATAGAGAGGAAAGAAAAGGAGGAGCTGTGGGGGGAGAGAGAGGGAGGAGGTGGATACAGTGGGAAGAAAGAATTGCGGCATTACAGAAAGAAGAGAGATGGTTACAGAGAGACAGAGGGAGACGGTGACAGAGGGACGAGTAAATGAAGTGAGACAGAGAGTTCGAGGAAGATTGAGGGAGAGACAGAGATGGAGAGAAGAAGAGACACAGAGTTAGAGAGAAGGCTGAGAGCTGAGACTAAGAGTGGCTGGGAAGATTGGAGAGGAGTCACGGAGACAGTTGTAGAGCAAGTTAGAGAGAGGGTTGGATATAGCTGGGAGAGAGAGATTGAAGCAACGGCAACTAATGAGCAACCACCTTGGCCCTCATTCTTCCTTTGTCTGTTCAAGGCAACAGCCGTCCTGGGTGGAAAAGCGGCTTGAAAACACCAAACTCAAGGCAGTGAGAGAGAGACATGAAGAGCCCGTGAACATCTGTTAATGGATAATCCCCACGCGAAAGGAGTTTACACAGCTCCATGCGCATGGGGGAATTTCACAATAAAGCAAATGCTAAAGCATATTTTAATTTTTAACTAAAAAGCAGACTAAACAAAAATTATAACAATGGATTTATTTTTAATACATATAACTACAACATAGAGTATATATAATAAATTTATATGACTGCAAGATTTCTAAATTGTATGTGATGTGGTATGACATTTTTCCTAATAAACTAAAAATTTAAGAAAGTATGTTGTAATTCTTAGAATAAATGACTAGAAACATAAAGATAAGATGTGAATGAAATGGATTTCTAATAAAAACATTCAAATAATCTGAAACACAAAAATGGAGAAACAAAAACATGTTAGAACCAAGAGAAAACAAAAGCATAGAACTAAATCTAATTCTAAATCCCATCAGTAATTTTACTTAATATTAATTAATTAAATACTCTATGTGAGTGAAATAAAACTGGATTTTAAAAAATTAGCAAAAACTCAAATACATGCTCTTTATATGAGACACAGTGAATGCCCAATAAGGAAACACAAAAAGGACAGAATAAAGTGCAAAAATAGACAATTCTATAAATAGTGTTATAAAATTTTAATGCCAAATTTTAATTTTATGAAATCAACTACACTAGAAAAGTTTCAGTAAGGTAGGGTATGTGATTAATACTATCACCCCTGTGCTCCAGTTACATTTTAAATTATAGAAGAATAAATAAAGAGAAATACAAGGGAGAAGCCATGATAGAGATCTTCAATTAACTGCTCTCAGAGTTGAGAAAAAAACCAAAATGAATTCTCTTTTATTAATTTAAATTTTTTAATTAAAAATCTAAATAATTCATGTCAAAGGGGCATTGTAATAGGAACTAGAAAATACATGTTATTATTTTTGAATTATAATAATTTTTGGATTATAATTGTTTATACTGGAAAATAAAAATTACATGTTATTAATGAAATTACATTTCAAAATTTACAGGAAAAGACTAGCCATATTAGAAAAAAATATTTTTGAAAAAATATAATTGAAACAGAAGGGAACAAAATGAACCCAAAAGAATAAAGATAGTTCAAACAATGATTCATTCTACTGTCAAACTCACTAGAAAATGTTCAGTATCTCAGGTAAATTGATAGGAATTTAATCTAATTTATGTGATATTAGAGACAAAGGTATTTAAGCTTTCAACAATCTATAAACATAGTTTATCTCCTTTAAATAGGAAAACAGATGATAATTATATGTGTATTGCTGTAAATCATAAAACTAGTACAGTTAATATGGATATAGTTATATATGTGAGTAGCAATATATCCAATTAATCCAAAAGGAAATTATGTAAGAGTAAACTGGTGGAATAATAGAAGTAAATAGAAAATTTCTGACTAAATCATTTCAAAGCATTTGCAACAAAAGGGTATGGTTTTGTAGGGTGAGGAATGAAGGGGAACCTACCAGAGAATAAAAACTGAATAGGATGTATAGAAAATATCAATACAAGGATTCCACAATGACAGTATTTTAGTAAGACACCTAAATGTACCTTCATAAAGAAGATAGGTTAAATGTTATAATAATTTAATACAAAAAAGACAGAGTAACTCAAGATAGAATAATTCCATTTTGCAATTTATGTCACCTATTATAAAACACATACCATTGTTTTCTAAATGTGGCACTGTAAAACTATTTAGAAAATAGATGGAATGTATTAGGTTTTGATTCCTTATACTTATAAGCAAACAATGGTGTGATATAAATATTCAACTCAGATCATCACCAATATTCTCAGAAATAATAAGATCATTTAAATATATTCATACATTTGAAATTACTTCCTAACTAGTAATGTAGGTAGATCTATTATAAATCCTTTATAAGATTAACATAGCCTATAATTTAAAAAATCAGTATTCATAATTTAAAGGCATTAAATAGCAAAAAGGAAGTGGTAGAATCTAAAATTAATACGTTTATATTTATATGTAAAGTAAAACAGGGATTAGGACTGATGTATAACTTTCTTAATTTTGTTTTGCTTGTTTTGGGACAAATCCCGTGATACTCAGGATTTACTACTGGCTCTGCCTTCAGGAATTAATTCTGGTGGTGCTCAGGGACCGTATGGAATGCTAGGGATTGAACCTGCGTTGGCCACATTCAAAGCAAGCAGCCTACCCACTGTATATTGTACCATTCTTGCTTTAGCTTTTTAACCCCTAAAACTGCTAAGCTTCCTGTATTGCTCTTGTGTTTTAAATAAATGAATTTATTTGGTCTTTACCCAAATATATCTTACAAAACAGAAAGCTGGATTAATAAGAAATAAAATAAAGAAAGTTTGGAGCAAAATATGGGAATCAGCGAGAAAGATATGTAGAGTTAGAAGCCATGTACTATCACCAGTTTCCACCAAACATACAGATATTATCATTTCTACTCAAGTCAAGTCACTATATCTAGCAGTTTATTTTTTTGAAGGCATACATCTTACCATGTGGAATTGTTGTCTGGAAAGGACGACTTGGGCTTTTCAGGTTCCATAAAGTCAAGCTGCCATCTGAATGGCTGCACATGAACTGTTTGCCCTCATGATGCCAATCAATTGAATGAATAGCCTAATGAAATAACAATTAAAGAGTAGAGGGAGGAAAGGTGATATATCATCCTATTTTCCAAAGGAAAAAATTCTAACATAAAATTATTATATAAATAAAGCTTAGCAGTATGCAATTTTTCTGATCCAAATTATACTATCTTCAAACTACTATATGCTACAAAGATGAAAAAGTATCACTATATCACTGACCAACATCCCGTTGATGGTCAAATTACTCGAGCGGGCACCAGTAACGTCTCTATTCCTCCCAACCCTGAGATTTTAGCAGTCTCTTCTTACTCATCTTTTCCCAACTATTGGAGGCTCTTTCAGGGTCAGGGGAATGAGACCTGCTGTCGTTACTGTATTTGGCATATCAAATACGCCATGGTTAGCTTGCCAGTCTCTGCCTTGCAGGGAGGATACTCTTGGTGGCTTGCTGGACTCTCTGAGAGGCATATTTTTATATATATTTTCTCAATGATTTGTTGCCTACTGCCTGAACCCCATCAGATATGGTGTAGTAATTGTGGAAAATTATGTGGAAAATTACTACCGCGACTGCGTGGTCCGGAAAGCAGCCTGGAGCATGATGGTGGTTAGGTAGTGGAGGTCGGCTGCCAGGACTAGGTTCCTTGGGGTGGGGAGGACTCTCACCCATCTAACAGCCTGGCACAGAGTCTTTCATTTTCCAAATTAAACTTGGTTAAATAGGCTAGAAACATTGAAATAATATTTAGGTCATACCACTCATACCAATATCTAACTACAAAATCCATATTCTTTTTTTTTTCTTTTTGGGTCACACCTGGTAATGCACAGGGGTTACTTCTGGCTCTGCACTCAGGAATCACTCCTGGCAGTGCTTGGGGGACCATATGGGATGCTGGGAATCAAAACCTGGTTGGCCACGTGCAAGGCAAACACCCTACCCACTGTGCTATCACTCCAGCCCCCAAATCCATATTCTTAATAGTTGTACCACATTGCCTTTACACACAATTTAAAGTAAGAAAGGCTTAATATTAAAAAATAAATTATTACATATTAGCAGTTGGTGGGTCAGAAACTGACAGAACTCTAAGCCAGGATTTTACACATGTAAGGCATGTGTTTCATTACTTGAGACACATCATTGGCCACTGAAAATTTTCATATTATCAGATTAACTCTTTTGTTGTGAATTAAATAAAGCTAATTATTCCATTTCCTAAGTTGTTTTATTGTTAGAGGTAGAATAAGTAGTCTTAAAGTAGGAACTCAATAAAATATATGCTGAATGATTAAGTAATTAATATCATAATATTTCCACATACCAAATATACTTTCTAAACTAACAAACTATATATAGAATTTGGGTAGTTCTAAGAACAATGGTAAGAAAGTCTACTTAGTAGGCATAAAAACAGCAGATATATGTAAAGCAGTATTTTCTTTAGAGAAGCATTAAAAATTTATAGACATGTAAATTAATATTACTACTTATTGTTTGGAAACTATAAGTAGTTATATATTGATTTTATACTGTTACATATGCAAAAAACAGTAACACGTCTCACAATGGAGACATTACTGGTGCCCGCTCGAGCAAATTGATGAACAATGGGAGGACAGCACTACAGTGCTATTACATGTTACTACCTATATTATAAATATAATGAACAGAGAATTGTGTAAATTAATATTAATAATACTTGTTTAGAAACTCTAATAATATATTAATTTTATACTGTTACATGTTACTATTATATTATAAATATATATTGATAGGAATATATTAAATTACTAAATATAGCCTCTCAAGTGATATATAAATGTATTTAATTTTATATAAATATTTAATATATATAAACATAAATGTTACAAATATGTTACTATTGAAGTTTCTAAATATTTATTAGTTATTGATAATCAATTAACAGAATAGTCATTAAATATATAAAGAAAATAGAATATACGCTTTACCAAAAAGCAAAGATTTAATTTAGTAGAAAAGGCTATATGAAAGCCTGAACTTGTGTTTTCTGTCACCCTTGTCCACTTTACTATGCACAGAAGACTTTTTCTTGCCAGGATACAGTAAGTAAGAGGGGAAAATAACACTTTTTAAAAAAAATTTTGTCTTCTCTGTTTCTTCTCACCTTTGTAGCTTTCTTGAGAGAAATGCAATTTCTTCCTTTCTCTAAATAGTAACTTGATGAAACTCAAGTTTAAGTTCTCCATATCTGCATTGCTGGAAGTGGTGGAGGCAGAGAAACTGCCCTAAAATTATTTTTCTAAATTTCAACCTTCTGTAGAAGGTAGAAATGAAAATAATAACTACAGCACATAAGTAAAATAAGTATTATAAATGAAATATACTTATTTAACAGAATAATACCAAAAACAGACTTCAAAAGAGTATTTTATGAAAGAGTTAACACTTGAATTGGTGTTACTGCTAAGTGTTTCATTTGTGAAGTATGGTCTAAATCTGGTAAAGTAAAAGACAGCATCAGAACCTCAAATATTATGAGATAGATAGTTAACTCATCTGTATCTTAAAATGATTTCTTGTTAGTAAGATACACTAAAAAACTAGGATACTAACTAATCACAAAAACTATGATTAGTTAGAAAACTATTACGTTCACTCAGGCAAAAGATAACAACCTAAACCAGGACACTTAATGTGAGAATAAAAAAAAGAGGAAATGAGAGATACTATGAAAAATAAGATCAAGACTATAAAATTAACTTTATAGGATATATGAAGAAATATGACTCTGAGATTTCCGAACTAAAATACAGAATCATAAGCTTAAAAATGAAAATAAAGGTCAGGTCCTTAAATAAAAAGGCAGTGTCAATGGGATATTTATCTGGACTACATATATTCAAATTTAGAGCTCAGGATAGCAGTAAGGGTTAAAGTCATATTGACTTACTTTTTTAAGATAAAGTAATCATTCAAAATGATATGAAATAATAGGCACACAAATGTAAATCAGAAGAGAAACAAGAAGACTCAGAGACTCTTGAATGTAATTTAAGGAGAGCTTAAAAAGATAATCACGGAGGAGTGTAAATGATGTAGAAAGACACAAGGGAAAAAAATGGTTCATGAAAAGTAACAGTTTTAATGAGAAATTTAAAGGGCTATGAAGGTGTGACTGTTTAGTAATGAGAAAACTGGTGACTCATAAGAAAAAATTTCTCCCATTATAAGCATTATAGATGATTTCTAAACATAAGAGGTAAAATGCTGAGACAATTTAGAAAGTTTAGCAGTCAAATTAAGTATATAACTATGTACTGAAATGATAGAGTATGTAATTATAAAAAAAGTGAACAGATGATTTACATAAACATGTATATATGAATATAAAAAGTTTGGCAGTAAAACAAAGTATACAATTAGCTTTATTGAAATAAAAGAACACAGTATAAATTAAATGGTAGAACTAGATAAATATACTATTTACTCTAAGATTTTTTAAGGCTTTATTCATTTTCTGGTTTTGGAGAGAGAGAGAGAGATATTTTTCTGTCACAGTAGTGCACAGACATTACTCTGGGTTCAGAGCTCAAGTGTCACCCTTAGCAGTTCCAGAGATCAAAACAGGGTCAGCCATATGTAACAGCAGAACTTTAACCCTGGTAATATGTCTCTGGTCCCCACTTTTTAAACTTAAAATATAAAACACAGCATGTAAAGCTAAGATTAAAATGAGTTCTTGGTATGTATAATTTTGTACTCTACCGACTTAAGTTTGGCTAACCATTATTTAAGGATTTTGTTGCAAAATTGCTTTCACTCTTTGTAAGGTTAGAAATATTTTTCCATGTTTTTAAAGCTGTAGGAAAAGTTGCTAATTCATCATTTTCCTCTGAATTTTTTCTGTAGTGGTTCTATTTAAGTTTTAATTGGTTTATATACAGTGTTTAATTGATGTCTGGACTTTTACTCAGATAACATTTGGGATCTTATTTAGCTGCTCTCTTGAAACAGGGTACAATCTACAATCTACACCTACATCTTTATATTCTGTGAATTTAACAAAAGGGAAATTCTTGTAAAGTTCCCTAGGGCCTTCTTTCCTTATGATTCAAGGGAAGTTATTAAAGAACATAATTATAAGCCTAACTTGGTAGGGCATTTTTAAAATTAACCATGACCCATTTGCTTTTGAATTCTTTATTGCTATGACAACTATCTTGCATATTCAGGTAAAATTTTAGTTTGAGAAAAGCACTAAGACGTGAATGAGGGAGGAATCACATGAAATAGCCAAAGGCTTTAAGCACCAAAACATCAATATTTCACTGTTATGAGAGTGTGAAAAATCACATAGATGAGGTATTGTAAAAGAGGTTTCTTTCTAAATTTTTATTTTTATATTTACGTTAATGTTGCACTAATTCTCTTAGACATAAATCATTTTATTCCTATTTTTAAAATATTTTTTTTGAGAATTAAAGAAACAAGCAAAGTAACAACAAAGGCCCAAAGGTAACATAATGAGAGAACTGATTCACACAATTGAGTCGGGATGGGGTTGGAAAGAAGGGTCTTTGAGGCTATGTGCATTAATTCCTTAACATTCTTCCCATATGTATTTGTGATACCAAATAGAGATTTCTGCCTGCATTTTCTTCCTATTTCTCCTTTAAAATTCTAAAAAAAAAAATAAAAATAATAGTATAGGTAAGGTAAAATAAGGTAAAGGCCCTCCTGTTGATCGTCGATTTGCTCGAGCGGGCCCAGTAACGTCTCCATTGGAGACTTTGTTGTTACTGTGTCTGGCATATCGAATACTCTCGGTAGCTTGCCGGGCTCTCCGAGAGGGGCGGAGGAATCGAACTCGGGTCGGCCATGTGGGCCGCTTGTAAGGCGAACGCCCTACCCGCTGTGCTATCGCTCCAGCCCTGTAATAGTATAGCTTTCTACTTTTATTTCCAAAGCCATTTTTATTTCCATACCTAGTTTTTACTTTTTGCCACCTAGTTTCACAAGTTTTCACTTTTCCATCTTCTGAGGAGGAAATGTTTAATAATATAAAAGACTACTTAATAGATATGAATTCAGTGCTTTGTCTAAATGAAAAGTTAACGAAGTTTCAACTATGTACAATACTTCAATACATTAAATATTATTCAGTAAACTTCCTATTTTCAGAGAAAAGTATTAAAAACTAGGTGTTTCAAACCACTTAAATTTTATGCTTCAGAAAACGAATTTTTTAAGGAAGGAATGAAGGGTATCTTTTGAGACCTCAAGGATAATGTGGTAAGATATAAGCATAGAAACTAAAGAACGGGAAAGAAATTTTGATAAATTTTAGATATGATAACATACTTACAGGTACCAAAATATAGAGTATGTCGAAAAGGACCAAAATACAGGGCCAAAAATATAGAGTAAGAAATAAAGGCAGAATTACCACTCAGAACAATCAGAGTCGGATCTGTGCAAATGCCACAGGCAATACAAACACTGTATAAGAAATAGGAAGTTTTCCAATGATAAAAATATTGATAACATACAAAGTTGAAAACTTAAAAAAGTAAAAAAATGCACAAAATAAACAATAATTTTCAAATATTTCAATAGAAATTACTTACCTCATCATAATAAACTCTCAGGTCTGCTCTTTTAGATTTCAAGTCCCAGAATACTACAGTACCATTTTCATAACCTATTAGCAGCTGGAAAACAATAGAATAACCATTTTATGTCATTCTAATGTTAATTTGCACTTGCTTCAAAAGGTTTAATGTTAATAAAACAAAATTATACTACATAATGACATATATGATATAATAGGTAAGGTAAAGGTAAAGGCCCTCCCGTTGTTCATCGATTTGCTCGAGCGGGCCCAGTAACGTCTCCATTGGAGACTTTGTTGTTACTGTGTTTGACATATGGAATACGTCACGGGGAGCTTGCCAGGCTCTGCCGTGCGGGTGAGATACTCTCAGTAGCTTGCCGGGCTCTCCGAGAGGGGTGGAGGAATCGAACTTGGGTCGGCCATGTTGGCTACATGCAAGGCAAACGCCCTACCGCTGTGCTATGACATAATATATGATATATAATAACATATAATATATGACATAATATGACATAGGGCTGGAGCAATAGCACAGAGGGTAGGGCATTTGCCTTGCATGTGACTGACCCAGGTTCGATTCCTCAGTCCCTCTAGGAGTGCCTAGCAAGCTACCAAGAGTATCCCGCCCACACGGCAAAGCCTGGCAAGCTACCCATGACGTAATGGATTGCCAAAAACAGGAACAACTCTCACAATGGAGACATTACTAATGTCTGCTCCAGCAAATAGATGAACAATAGGAGGACAGTGCTACAGTGCTACTATGACATATTAAACAATACCATTTAAAAAAGGAATAAAGCTTTAAAAGTAAGGCAAAGTATATTATACTTCAATACAAGTATTTATCAATACAATAAAAACTGCTATTTCTGGGTCAGAGAGATAGTATATCAGAAAGAATGCTTGTCATGCATGCCGCTGACCCAGATTTAATACTCCCCCCCATAACACCCCCGGCACCCCATGTGGTTCCCTGCTCAGTGCCAGGCTTGATCCCTAAGCCCAGGGCCATGAATAAGCCCAGCACAGCCAAGGTGGACAAAAAACCCCAAATATTGAAGGTCTACGTTATATAAAAATAAATACATAAATTGGAAAAATGTGATAAAAATGCTACAACAGATTAGCTTCAGATTTCTTTATACACAAGAGGTTCTCAGGGAGCCTGAGACCCACTCCTGCTAATTCTCAGCCAATAAGCCTGTTGTTCCAGTGCTAGGCCTGAGGACGCAGTTCTTTAGCTCCATAGTATTGTATCAGTATTTTAATTTGATTTAACTTATGTATCATCAGAAATTTACAGATAGTCAAGTTGTTCTTAACTAAATGGTTGATAATTGTTTACAAATAAAGAAGACAATAAGCTAAATGTATTTGCAGGGGGTACACCTGGCTGCACTCTGGGCTTAATCCTGGCTCTGTGCTCAGGGATTACTCCTGGCAGGCTCAGGGACCCACATAGGATGTCAGGGAGCAAACCCAGGTCAGCTAAATGCAAGGCAAATGCCCTACACGCTGTACTATAGTTCCAGCACCATATGTACTTTTAAGAATAGAACTTGAGAGCAGACATAATTATAGAATAATCATATTCAGGACAGTCATTCAATAGTCAATTATTATAATTCTATAGTTATAATGAATAATTCTTACATTCGTTATGTTTAATAATTCAAGAACTAATAATTCTATTTTAAAATAACACTGTATTTTATTTATAATTATATAATAGTTCTTAATTACAATAATAATTATATAACTAGAATTTTATTTTTGTTAATCTATCACTGATTAAATAAAACATATATAAAGACAATGTTATGCCAGTGATTATTCTTATGTATATGTCTTAAATTTTCTTGAAATGGACTAATAGTATTTCTCAAATAAAAATCTTTATATGGTGCATAAAGATGTTTCAGTAATTTGTAAAAGTGGTAAAACTGAAAATAAAGCAGTGTTTATATTGTAACTACTTAATTTACTTTGCCCCAACACTTCCTCACTATCTCATTATTTTAAAACAGAACACAAGAACACACACATACACACAACCCAAATCAGCTCAACAGAAAATAAAATATAAAAATGTAATCATAAAAGCAGTATTTTGGGGGGTATGGTGCTGCCATATCTGTAGGTCAATGAACCTACAGATGGACCTGCCATATCTGCAGGTCAATCTATACTTGTAAGGCGAGTGCATCAGCAGCCTGATGGCACCATCAGACTTTCAGATACCCTAAAATTGCTGCTGTGCCTTTAGCCAGACCCCAAAAACTTGGGGCAAAGTTTACCAAGAAAGTAAACGGCCAAAAGTTAGGTATGTGGGAGACACACCCACAAACCACCTCTGGCTCAGCTATATAATTGGAGGCATGGCCTCTCTGGTTCCTGATCAAGCTGCTTAACGGCCATGATCCAAGAGACTCAGAAACGAATCTCAGAACCCAAAGGCTTTTGGTAGAAATGCGTCCTGTTCCTGCAGTAGGTTACTGGCGCTGGGCCACTCCAGGTGGGAATAGGTTTCGTGCTTTGGCCTGTTCCCCCTAGCAGCCCGGTGACTACCATCCTCCAGAGGCCACTGACAGTCAGGTTTAGGCCTGCAGTGACAAGACACATGGGGCCTCAACAGATGGGGGTGGAACTGGCCCTTTCCTCCCCATCCCTATGAGACCCCGAGTTGCTGCCTACAAACAGCCTCTCTGGCTCCTGATCAAGCTGGTTAACGGCCATGATCCCAGAGACTCAGAAAATAATCTCGAACCCAGTGGCTTTTGGCAGAAATGCATCTGGACTGCATACAGGGTGGCCGCCACCTCAGAGCTTATAGGAAAGCCAGGTATGAGCCTGCGGTGATGGGGCAACTGCAGTCTCATGGGAAGGGGGGTGGTACTGGCTCGTCCCTCACACCCTACCGAGGTCACGAGTTGCCCCCCACGAGTGACTCTCTACCACGGCCATGGCTCCAGAAGCAAAAGGACTTAATCCAGAGCCTGGCAGTTTGCGGCAGAAAAGTGACTGGACCACGCGTTAAACTTGACGCCATGACTCCCCAGGAGGGAAAGGGTGTTGCTCCCTTCTGCCATTTCCCACCCAGCAGTAAGGTGACGACTGCCTCAGAGATTACTGCAAAGCCAGGTATGAGCTGGTGGTGACGGGGCAACTGCAGTCTCATGGAAAGGGGGACAATACCGGCTTGTTCCTCATGCCCTACCAAGGTCACAAGTTCCCCCCACGAGCGGCTTTCCGCCACGGTCATGGCTCCAGAGGCAAAAGGACTTAGTCCAGACCCCAGCAGCTTGCAGCAGAAAAGTGAACGGACCATGCATTAAACTGTGGCGCCATGCCTCCCTGGGAGGGAAAAGGTGTTCCTCCCTTCCGCCTTTCCCCCCACCAGCAGCAAGGTGGCTGCCACCTCAGATCTTATTGGAAAGCCAGGTACGAGCCAGCGGTGATGGGGCAACTGCAGTCTCATGGGAAGGGGGACAGTACTGGTTCATCCTTCACACCCTACCGAGGTCATGAGTTGCCCCCCACGAGCAGCTCTCCGGCACAGCCATAACACCAGATGCACAGAAACTAATCTTGTAATTATCTGGCTCTTTGCAGAAATCCAAAATTGTGCGGCCACTATTGCGACATTATATGATTCTCATAACCAGCTATAGAAAACAAAATATTTTACAATGCCTTTTCAATAATTCTGATTGTTGAGGGGAGGGAAAATTCTAAATAATAATGGTGCATCTTTTGTTGAAATAATGAATGTAATCAATGTAGAGAAGAGTTAAGTAGAAATCATCTGCCTCACAGGCATTGGGAGGGGTGGCACGGCGGTATATTGGGGTTTTTGGTGGTGAAAAATGAGTACGGTGAAGGGAAAGGTGTTTGATCATTGTATGACCGAGACTTAAACCTGAAAGCTTTGTAACTTTTCCCACAGTGACTCAATAAATATAAAAAGAAAAAAAGTAAATATAGTAATATTTTTGAAACTATGATATATACAATTTTTATTATAAACCACACACAACACATTTCAAAATTGATGCGATTAAAAATTGAGCTTTATATACCAAATTATGCTAGAGCAATAATTCAGTTGGAAGAGCACTTGCTTTGGACATAATGAAGTTGGTTTGATCCCTGGTACCATATATAGTTCCCCAAGTCTCCCATGAGTGATCGCTGAGTGTAGAGCCAGATAAGTGTGGCCCAAAATAAATAAAAACAATGTAATACTGAATTGCTAAACTAAAAATGTAAAAATTAAGTAGAGAATTTTTTTCTTACACTACATCTAACAATTTTAATAGAGAATATTTTTAAGTAAAATTATATAAAATCAAATATACTGTGCTAAGACTTGTTTTAATTTCACATAAAACCATTTCACATACCATAAAAAGTGACAAAAATAAAACAAATTTCTATAAAATTTATGAGAGAAAGCTTCTATAGAGAATATGGAAAGGAGATTTGTAAATATAAAAAGCTTGGAAAATATAAAAAGCAAAAATATATATAACAAAATCTTTCAAAATATGAGCTGAAGACATAAAGAAAATATAGCAAAATATATTATTATTTTATTGTAAATAATATAAAGAAGAATTTTAGTAAAAAATACTAGCAACAGTCTCATTAAATCACAAAATGTAAAATACTAGATGTTGAAATGTTGGAAATTACTTAAAAAATTACATGATTATAAAATAAGAATTATGAAAGGACATTAGAATCACTTAGTGAATTAAGAAAGAAAGAAAATAATCAGTATTGACTTTAAAGACATCAAACAAGGTCACTCTGAGACCAAGACAAAAATGAAATCATTCTAAAAAGATGTCCGTTCAATATCAAAACATCAATATCATCTAAGCTACAGATAAATATTAAAGACATATAATTTTAATCATGTTTTATAAAAATTTGTTTAAAATTTTATATATTTAAAAACAATATTATAGTTTATAATTCAAAATTATGTTATAATTTATATAAAATTATATTATATTTAAAAATCCTTTATAGTGGAATTTAAACCATAAAGTAAACAAGTACGGTGATTCCATCACTACTATATAATCA